GCGGTCCTGCATAAGCGGTTAGGGACCGCAGAAGCGAAAATAGCACCTGGGCAGAAGGGTTTTAAAATAATATTTCATCCGCGACCCTTTCATATTTTGCCTCCATTGTTGACGTTCTCAAGAGCTTTGAACAAGGAAATTCGAGGGTTTTGACTGAGAATCATCGGGAGGTAAGTTCCTTGGCCTAAATATTCGAGTTTATGGTAGAAATTACATATAAATTGTAGAAAATTCATCAAAAACAGGTTAAGCTAGGGCTTGGAAAGCTATGATGTAAAAATAGAATTTGAAGGGTCAAACGAACTCCGATTTTGGTAAACTTTATATGCACGGACTCGTGGCGAGACGAGGAATCTGTTGGTGTGATTTTCGGAATTTTTCGAGAAGCGGGCCAGGGGCTCGGGTTTTACCAACTTCGTAAATTTTTGTACTTTTCGAGTAATTTTGATTGGGTTATGTTTCCTTACCCCATATTTATGTATTCGTTGTGATTTTGAATAGATTCGACGAGCGAGAAGGTCGATACGAAGGGAAAAGGCATTGCGGACCATTCTACAGCCGGTTAGAGGTGAGTAGTTGGTGTATATGATGGCCTGAGGGTTTGAAACCCCGGCTTATCACATTGTGACGCTATTGTAGGGCGTGACTCGCACCCCATGGCAGGTGCGGGATTAGTTATGACTGGGGATTGAGACTTAGTCCATCCCGAACTAGAATGTTTCTATATTGGCGACTGATACGCACCCTGTATTGAGTATATCTGGGCTTATTGCCGTGTTTGGGGCCTTGTGCCGATCTGTAGCATCCTTAGAGGATGAATGTCATTGTGATAGCATGCTTTTGTATAATCATTGATCTCAGTCCTGTGTTTAATCACTGTTATGAAACGCTAAGTCACTTATCCTGAAGTTAAATAACTAAAGTATATTCTTCTTAATAAATTGGAAATTGGGAAATTAATTAAATCTGTTATGTGACTCATATGCATATTGTGGACTGAGTATGGATCGGGCTGCACGCCGCAGCGAATGATATGATTATATTGCACTTGGGCTGAAGGAGCCCCTCCGGAGTCTGTACACACCCCCAGTGAGCGCCGTCGACGTTAAATGGATCGGGCTACGTGCCGTAGCGGTCATGTGCATCGCATTGCATCATTACATTTTACTTGACTGTATTATTTGAAGTTGTTTGCTGTTAGATTGCAGTAAGGTGTAGGATTGTTAGTGTTAGCTTTGCTTTGTGGTATTTCGTGGATTTCTTATCTTCAGACATTTTATATGCTTATTACTCACTGAGTCGGTAGTACTCACCCCTACTCCCTGCACCTTGTGTGCAGATTCAGGTACACCGGAGGCTTAACTGAGCAGTCATTATTCCAGAGCTTATCAGAGTCGTTGAGGTAGCTGCTTGACGTTCGCAGGACCTGACTACTCTTCCTATTTCAGTCTTATCTCCATATATATACATTTCCAGACTTGAGTATTTTTCGTCCTATTACTATTATCCAGATTGTTTTAGAGGCTCTAGACTCGTGACCCCAGGTCTTTGGGAGTGTTTTAACAGATTTCGTATTTTTCTCAGCATTATTTTATTATAAATATTGGATTATTATTCTAAGGTTATTATAATTTCTTTAGGTTGTTATATTTGAGGTTTACGGTTAATTTGGGAGCGATTGTGGTCTGGCTTGCCTAGCAATGTTGTTGGGCGCTATCACGATCGGGTTTGGGGTCGTTCCATCTGGAACCTGGACATGAACTCCCTCAACATCTCGTCGTTCCTTTGTTTTATTTTGAAGACGTCCGATTTTCTCGTGGCCACCTTAATGGCCCCGGCGTGTGCTTTCACGAAGGCGTCTGCTAACATAGCAAATGAGTCAATAGAGTTAGGAGGTAAGTTGTGATACCAAATCATAGCTCCTTTTGACAATGTTTCTCCAAATATTTTCAATAAGATTGATTCGATCTCATCGTCATTCAAGTCATTTCCTTTGATCCCGCAAGTGTATGAAGTAATTTGATCGTTAGGGTCGGTTGTCCCATTATATTTGGGTATATCGGGCATGCGAAACTTCTTAGGAATAGGCATCGGAGCCACGCTCTGAGGGAATGGTTTTTGTATGAACTTTTTGGCATCTAATCCTTTCAAAACTGGAGGTGCCCCCAGTATTTGGTCAACACGGGAGTTATAAGTTTCCACCTTTTTGTCATTGTCTTCAATCTTCTTTTCTCCGGACTCAATCCTCTTGGTGAGCTCTTCGAGCATCCTCATAATGGTGGGGTCAGTCCCCGAGTCGTTTCCATTTGACCTCTCTGGCACTGGCTCAACACGTCGAGTGTTTTCATGTTCAGCTACACTCGGAGTCTTATTTTGACTTTGAAGTTGAGCAATGGCGATCTGTTGAGCTTGCAGCATCTCGAATATCACTTGGAGGTTGATTCCCCCATCACTCACTCCTTGTGTTCCTTGGCCACCAGGCCGGGCTTCCCTGCGTACACTCCCTACGGGGTCTGTGCCTAAATCCTGTTTAGAGCAATGTGTGAACTAACCGGTTCCATGTTTGGCACTTCCCCAGGGTTTATTGGTGGTACACCGACCCCTATATTGTTGTTTTCTCCAAGACCTTCGTTGTCATGAACAGGTGCATTTTGTGAGCTAGACATGTTTCAGCCTGTCAAAAATTCTTGACAAGAAAAAGTATAAAATAACGTGTGTAATGAGAATCAGTAAAGAAACAATCACTATTATCTTTTGCCCCACGGTGGGCGCCAAACTGTTTACCTTGAAAATACGAGTAACAATTAAATTTGATTTGTGGTTTTAAAGATATGTGATTAAATTCAATACCAATTAATATTCAAGAAATATGAAGTAGAAATGAAAGAAATAAGTGAGTCAAACCAATGTTACTCAGCAGTGGTGACTTCGAGCTTAGTGACCTCGAGATGAACTAAGAGCAATAAAGTAAGAACAATAAATGTAAAGGACAATTTTGATGAATACTAAGAGAGAAAAGTAGCACAGTGTATTCTTGCCAATGATGAGATGATGTTACAAATGATTGGGGTCCCCTTTATATAATAGGGGAACCCTAAATAAGGTATATTTCTATTTATAGTAAGGAATATTCTTAATACAACTGTATAACGCCTCGTACGGAATCGTACAATCCTAATCTGGGATTTACGCCATGATCTTGGGGACGTGGCAGGAATCTAGCTCATTCTGTTACACATCCATAACGGTACAATTTCGGGATCGAGCATACTTGACTTCGGTATTCCCCACACTCCTATCTTCGGGCATTGCATTCCATCCTCGAGCTCGAGTCTAGTCTGTCGACCTCGAACTCGAGCTTACTTGAACTCAGACCTAAGGCGATCCCTCGAGAATGGGAGATCGGGCGTGCCTGATTTCGACCGTATACATATTTCTTATCGACTGTTTGTTTTAGTGTATTACATGTTTTAGGGCAGTTCTCTTTTTATACATGCTTATCCATGTATTATAAATAATGATATTACTATTTGCTAATGTCATAATTTGCTATGTATAAGAATAATACTGAATAGAGTGTATAACTAATAGGGGTTTTTACATACCTATACACTATTTGAAACCTTATTCCGAAAAATGTCCATGTTTTGGTATTTACCCGACCTAAACACATTTTAGTTACAAAATATATACAATCCACATATATATACAACTAATTATATATTATACAACTTATCTACAATTTTCATACATTATTTCTACCCAGGTATATACAACTACAATATCATACAACTTAAACACAATTTTTATACAATATTGTTCAACTTTCATACAATATTTAAATAAAAAATATGTATATAAACAACAGAATACAATTTTTCTACAATTTTACTACAATTTTGTAAGTATAATGTATGTCATGTCTTCTTCTTCGAGTTTCAATCTGAAATTCAGCCAAAATAAGTCTAATCTTCACCAAAACACCCTCAAAATTGAAATGTAAAACTCCAAACCATATTCTCAATTGTTTGCAACAACACCCGATCCAAACAAATAATATTAATGGCTGCCAATGGTGGAATTGCTGCTTTCTTTTCCTTTGCTTTACATTACTGGAATTAGAGATTGAGAGATAGAGAGAGACGTTGAGAGAACTCCCAATTGTTTGCAACAACACCCAATTCAAACAAATCATGTTTTTTGAAAATCCAAATTCGAATTCAAAGCTTCAAAGCTTTTAATGGCTGTCAATGGTGGAATTGCTGCTCTTTTTTCCTTTGCTCTACATTACTGAAATTAGGGATTGATATATATATATATATATATATATATATATATATATATATATAGAGAGAGAGAGAGAGAGAGAGAGAGAGAGAATTAGGATGGGAAATAATCGATTCCTAATATAAAGGGATACTCCTTTAATTCCTAAAGTGTATATAATTGGTAAATTTGTATATATGAGGTAATTAAATTGAAATTTGAGTAGGGAAGATAATAAATTTTCCAATAGCGTATATGTATGTAAAGATCCCTAACTAATAAATACTAATTATACTAATAAGTACTAATTATACATAGATTGAGAAAACTATAAAACAAAGAATTAATAATATCAAAGTTAATACATATATTATTTCTCCAATACATCCTGTCAAACGATCTCTAACTATCCCACAAGTGAGATTTAGGGAGGGTAGTACCTTACCGTTACCTTGTGAAGATAGAGAGGTTGTTTCCGAAAGACCTCGACTAACTTGCAAGTTTCTTTCGAAACATCATTTCGTGTTTAATTGAATTTAAAATTAAGAAACACATGGAATTATGATACTTCTGAAATAGTGTTTTATGTATAAGCATCCATTAAAGTGATAAAAAATACATGTTAGAATATTTGAAAGGAAAATGATTTCCGTCAACAAATTCCAAAAATATTTTTCCCCTTCTCCGAGTGATTATTTTTCAAAATCTGGGAAAATAGAAAATTTTAATTAATATTTCCTTCACAATATGATGCATTTATCAGAAACAGGGGAATGGAGATGGAACAATATATACTTGTGTATCTATAACTGTACAGATGAGGTTGACATAATACATGGTAGCATATACAGAGAAGTAAGTACATGAAGAAGAATGCCTAAAGCAGTTAGTACTTATGAATTAAGGAGCAGCAGGTTCACCACAAAATGCATCTGGTTCAAATGATCTTGCAGACTCATCCTTGTATACTCCTGGTATTGATCTACCACCAGCTTCTTCTGATGGTATATAAACATCCTTTTGGTGGTTCTCGACATTGACGAAAACGAGGACACATACTAGCAAGGATGTGGCAAGAACCACCAATGTGTTCTTTAATCTACTCAGAACAGGCTTCACCTGCACGGGGAGGCCAAAAAAACGTAGAGTCACTTCACAATTCCATCAGCAGCACTCGGAAAGATACCGTCCCAGACTCCTAGGGAAACAAATTTTATGCTGAAAAACTTTTCCTAAATCTTATGGTTGTCAGCTAACAAGCATCGTTCGTTCGAAGGTTCAGAGTCGATTATATTAGGGACTTACGGCAATCGAGTCTTGTGTATATTGTGATGAATCAAATAGGGTAAAAAAAGTTCTATCATTTGTGCTTGACAATGCATGGAACAAAATCTGCTGATTCAATTACTAAGATCTGCCGTCCTTACCTATGTTGCTCTGACTCTCCGAAAATATCGTCGGATGCGTGTCGGATCCTCCAAACATAACGTATTTTGGAGGATTCAACAAGGGCGTGACAGCATTTTGGACAGTCAGCGCAACATAGGTCCTTACTAGACTATGCCAGAAGAAGATGCCATGATCCAAGTCCAATAGAAAAATCACCAGAGTGCTAGCTGTTCCTACATAACTAATGCATCATATTTCAAGCAATAAACTTGGTCAAAAATAAATCGCTAGACCATTTTAGTCAGATTTACAATACCGTTTATTCAGAAAAGAAATATACTACAGCATTGTCGGACATTGAGATAGTTTATCCAAGTTAGCAAGTTTGAATTACTTACAGAGAAAGAACCCAAAAGGCGATCTCGTGCCAAAACTTCAGGAGTCTTCACCCATATCTGCAATGATATGGAAATATTCTCATCAGAAAATAACTTGGACTAGCCTAGTGATGCTAGCAAGTTACATGCATGAAATAAGCATTTAGCCTAAGCTATATTCCTTCAACCATATCAGCAAGGAAAAATCTGCTTCAAGTACCAAAGGATGTGGAGATCTTCTCATCCAAAATAGCTTAAAACTATCAAATTATATGATGATATAAGCATTTAGCCTAAGCTATATTCTTCCATTCAATCCAACTAACTGTTTCTACAGCTCTTTCCTCTCCCCTGAATCACCAGATTCCATGCGAAGTTTGGCGACATATATACAACAGATGATTCCGTTGACCATAGAACAGATGATTCCTCGAAGAACAAACAAGATTAATCATTGGAATATCAGCAAAGCAAATCAAGTTTGGTCACAAACAAGACTTGCAGTTCTAGCCAGTAGCCAGTAGCCAGTAGCCAGTTGCTTCTAGGCTAAACATATGTTTTAGGGCAACACTCAAGACCACAAACTAGTTAGCTGGAAGGTGCAGCTGACCGTATCAAAACAAGGCCAGACCTTACCACTCCCACAACAGAATTGGACCTAAACTATGTTTGGTAAAGGTAAAATGAGGAAGAGCATGAATAGAAAAGGAGCTGGGACATTTTCTTTGCTTGGTTAAAAGGTAAGGGGTAAGAAGTAAAATTGAAGGGTATACAACATTTCACGTCATCTTTTCAACCTATTGAAATTAAATCATAGGGGTCGAGAGAAAGTAATGGTTTTGGTTAAACTAAGTCCTACCGTAGCACAAAGTAAAGGATCAACATTCCACCTGTGCATTATCAATGGAGGTCATGCCCCAGGTTCGTTTTGTATAATTTTCCAAAATTGGCCTATTTGATTAGTAGTAGCCTAAATCTTAATGACCTTCAGATCGTCATAAAGAGCAAAATAGCACCATCGTTGCTACAATACGTGGAACTGGATTCATATTACTTCCTCAACAATGTTACTGTTCAACATAGAGTTATCTGCTCTTTACATCAAAATCCAACTTCCAAATAAAACTCTTTCATAATGAGAAAGTAAAAAAGATTACTAATCGATGCTATAAATGAAGCTGCAGATTTCTTGAACAGGATTTACTCAGGCTCCACTTTCTTCTATTCCCAATTATGAATTTGAGAGGTACTAACCAACAATAGACAAAATTTTCTCAGTAAATCATTATATTTTACCATCACCAACTACTACTAAAACATACCAATCCCACAGTAGTTGGCATCAATATATGAATCTTCTACATCCTTTTCGTTCCATTTAGGCACATTTCATTCCACCTAGTACTGCTAATCCTAATAAAAGTCAGAACTTTCCACAATATTAGTAATACTAATCCTAATAAAATCAGAACTTTTCACCAAAGAAAAAGTAAAACACTCTCTGCAGCTAAAAAGTGCTGGCAAAAGCCAAGTAGCATTGCATTAAAGAGTTGATTCATGAAGTCCAATGCCATTAGCTAAAGGTACTAACTTTCCAAATAAATAACAACTACAAAGGCATACATTCTAGAAAACTTAAGAATTAGTACCTGCCCATCATACCATCCAGTCTCTTCATCTATCACAAGCAAACCCAAAAAAGAAAACAATTATTTGACATGAATACCCATAATATAATAATAAAAACTCAATCCAACAAAAAAAGAAAGAAAATTACATTCAACAGTGGCACTGAGCAATCTGTTACCAACATAAGCCCAACCAAGATACATCCTCACAACAGCCAAAGTAACCATAATAACCCCACCAGAAACAGCACCCAAGAATGGTTTAAGGGGCTCGGGTTCGGGCCCAACCGACCCGAATAAGTTAACCGGTAGGCCCACAAAGAGGGCAAACGCAAGCCCAGTAGCAAAAAGACGGGAACAATACTCAACCAAGTCGCCGGAAGCCCATGAAAATGGGAAAGAATCAGAAAGTGCCTTGAACTCGTTAACGGGCTGCTGCTCAAGTGGGACCGGGCACTCGGTTTCTGGTAAAGGGTTGTTATTTCTGAAAGATGAAAAGGGTATTCTTGGAATAAATCTTTGGTTATGAAAATGGTGGATTTTAAGATGATGGGTTGATGAAAAAGGAAAAGAGACAGCTGGGTTTTGTAAGAAAGGTTTTAGGGGGTGAAGAACCAGTGTTGTTGTGGCCATTTGCTAAGTCCACTTACTATTTTTCCTTTTTGATTTGATTTTGAAATAGTTAGTAGTTATAATAAGGTTTATGTTTGTACATTTCTTTTCTCTCTCTTTTTTTTTTTTTTTTTTTTTTTTGTGCTTGTGATGTTGAACTTGTGTTGATTCATCTTGGAAAAGTCTATGGTGATAGACTGATAGTGAATGGAAAAAATATCAAGAGTTAGTGTACGTGGAGAACTGGAAATACCATTCTGCCCAAGTTAGTTCTCAAATTTTGACACGGATTTTTCTTTTTAAAAAAAGAAAAAAGTTCAATTGGTGTGAGAATGGATATAGGAGTAATTAACTATGTTTAATTATGGTTAGATTATGGTAGTGTATACAAGTTAAAAGATGTGTTATGCATTTATTAGACTAAATTTAGTGTACGTGCGATGCACGTGTATTTTGCACTTATCAATGACATAATATAGAATATAGAATAAGAATGAATCTATTTTTATATAATAGGAGAGGTAAAGAAATATTATGATGACAAGTGGCATAATAAAAAACTGACACATATAAATTTTTTGGACAATTCTATTGGAGTTTCAAATTTATTTAAAAAATGTAAAGGACCCTTTTTCAGAATTCAAAATTTCAGAATTTTTTAAATTTTAAAAATAATAACTGATTTTACATGGCACGTCATAAGAAACCAACTTCTCCTGTAAATCGTTTAATATTCTCCCGCTCTTGCTAATCAGTTCAGTTTCATCCATGGCAAACCAACTTCTCCTCTATACCATCTTCCAAATTTAATTCGTATGAGAGCAACAGACATGATGTGATATGCAAAATAATGACAGGTAGAGAAGTTTTTTTTTTTTTTTTTGTATAGTTTAACTATTGTCAATTACTATACAACTATATATATTCTGTGTTTTATCTTAGTCTGATCGTCTGTACACAATCCGAACCCAAAAGTGGGCTATAAATTTTTTTCATGACTACGCCATTCCATAACCAGAGCCAAAAAATGAAAAAAATGAATCCTAAAACAGCACCCACTACTACTTGGTTTAATGTGTGAAGGTGTTGTGAAACCTGTAACCATGACTGCGAAGTGTAAAATTAAGCAACAAAACTTGTGTTATTTTCTGACCGGTCTTAGATTGAACAGTCATATACATAAATATCACTAAGGTGCAATTCGATCCACACTTACAAAGTAAGAGCCCATTGCAAAGATAAGGGCACTAATGGCTGCAGTGGAAACAACTCTTAGATTTGTGGGGTTTTGTCTACTTCTGACAATAATTATATATAAATAGATCATTGTTGACTATAGAAGAACTTTGCATGTCAGAAGAAAATATAAAGTATTACAGGTACTTTTTATTTTATTTTTATGTTGTATAATATTAGTCTGCGATAAGTTTATATGAGTAACATGATTAGTGAAGATTTACATAGCGCAGTCCAAATTATTTGGGACTAGGGCTTAGTTATTGTTGTTGTTGTTGGAGTATATAAGCATTCGACAGAGGAATTTTTATTTGTTGGATTAATTTGATATGCTTCACATGAATATCAGTAGATTTTTATCTTATCATATGTTCCTTAATTAATTATATATGCTATGTATATGAAGGTAACATCTATCCATCTGCAAGTGTGGTGTCATGGAATGGTTCTTCCTAAAGATGCATTTGGGAATAATATCTCTTCAGCAAGCTAAGTGAAGGACTGAACTCTTTACATTGTCTGTATCAACTTTCAATGGTTCCAACGCAACTATGCTCAATTTCACCAATAACGAATGTGATATAAATAGTTATCTCGAAATAAAGTTTGTTGTAGCTACACTTGGAAGTCTTTTACTTCACGTAATAAGGAGAAAGACATGTAGTAGTTTTACTATAAACTTATTAGGTTAGTTAATAATTAGTTACTCATTTTTAAATTGAATTTAAAATAATTAAATATCTATATATTTTTAAGAAAAATTTTATAAAAAAATGAGAAAATATTTAATTAAATAACTTCAATATAGAGATATATAAAAGGATAAGACTAATTTATTTTTGAGATGAGAAAGATTAACACCTTTGTTAATTAATGAACCTAAATTCTGTTATTGATAATTGAATGTAAACGTTTTCTCTCGGTGCACGTTAAAGCGGCCTAGCTAACGTGCGCTTTGGAAGCCATGGGAGGGAGAGGCAGACTTAAGAAGAACCTTATGAAGGTTCCGATTGCATATCAAAGATCAACAGAAGCAAGAAATGCTGTTTTAGAACTGTTTGTATCACCAAAAGAAGTGAGAATTGAAGAACCAAATGAAGCAGTCACTCCAAGAAGCATGCAAAGTGAGCAGAGCAAGGAGGAAGCTGATCTAGCTCGCAGAAATGGCAAAATGAAAGCTGCAGCTGTTACACCTGTAGCTGCACAAGCTATAGGAGGTGGATCTGGAAGCGGGACAGCTCAAATACAAGCGAAGACTCCGAGCAACAATGGAACAGTACCATGCAGCTCAGGTACTGTTGAGAACAATAAAATTGATGAATTAGGAAAAGATAGCAAGACTCAGACATGGGCAAATGTGGTAGTGGGGAACAAATTAGCGATGAAAGGTATGAATCTACAATTTATTGCACCGGTAATTCAAAATGGTGAGAAGATTGTGAAATTAGACCTCGAGGATATAGAACAGGAAAATGATTTCTGCGATTGTGCTTTATGTGATAGGAGATTCACCTACTATTGGAGCAATAGAAAGATTCCTGAACTCAGTGGGTAAATTTTCAGTGAAGCCACAGATCTACTATCATAATGATGATTATTTTGTGATAAGGTTTAGTAATTTGGAAGAAAGAGATCAAGTACTATATTCTGGACCTCATACGGTGAACAATCGTCCTATAATTATGAAAGCATGGTCAGCAGATTTCAATTTGCATGATCAAGTACTGAAAACCAGTCCCCTGTGGGTCATATTCCTAACTTGCCGCTCAATTTTTGGAGTATGAAGGCCCTAAGCAAGATAGGTAGTGCTTTGGGAAACCCTGTCTATGCTGATGAGTGCACTTCTGGATCAATTAGAATTTCTTATGCAAGAATGCTAATTGAAATGGATATCACTAAACCATTACCTAGAACTGTGAAGCTGCAAGATCCAAAGGGCAGAACAATACAGCAGGAAATTACATATGATTGGGAGCCAGCATTCTGTGCTAAATGTTTGAAAATAGGCCATGATTGTAATGAAGTCAAAGCTCCACAACCACAGAAAATGATATATCAGAGGAAGGTGAATAAAGGCAAGCAAGTTTGGCTCAGAACTGATAGAGATGGCTCAAATGATAAAAAGCAGGAGACTGAACAAAGTAAGAAGAATGAAGCAGTCTAAACATCAGAACAAAGGGCAAAAACAAAGGACAATGAGAAACAAGAAAAGGAAGATGGGTGGATAACAGTGCTTGGTAAGTCAGCAGCAAGGGCAGCCAAAGCTAAACAAAATGAGGAACAGAACCTAGTTGGAAACAATGGATTCCAATCTCTGAGAAATGATCAAGCAAATAGTGATCCAGGCACAAGCAGTATGCAGATAAGGAGTGTAGGGGTGCAGGAGTTGTATCAAGATACTTATTTCATACCAGTATGAGTGTGATAACATGGAATATTAGGGGATTGAATGAAATTTATAAGCAAAATGAGATAAAGGAGTTTATAAAAGTAAATAAAAAAGCAGTAATAGCTCTAGTTGAGCACAGAATAAAGGAACAGAAAACTAGAGATGTAATGAAGAAGATTGCACCCGGATGGCAATGGATAACTAACTTTAGTACAATGAACAAAAGTAGAATTTGGGTGATTTGGGATCCTAGAATCTATGTGTTTGACCCAACTGAAATTGATGAGCAACTAATACATGGTTAGCTCAGAACAGTTTCAAAGTTCTTTACAATTGGATTTACAACAATATATGGGTTACATACCATCAAAGACATGCAGAATTTATGGAGAAAGTTGAGACAGATTCATAGTACACAATAGGGGCCTTGGTTAGCAATGGGAGATTACAATGCTGTGTTAAATGACCAAGACAGACAACATGGCTCTATGATACAAGATATGGAGACAAAAGATTTCAAGGAGTTCATGAAGGATACTGAGATGAATGAGTTACAAACTGTGGGAAGGGAATATACCTGGACAAATAATCATACTTATAGCAGAATAGACAGGGGATTGGTTAATGCTAACTGGATGCTGACAATGCCAAGCTTGAAAATACAGGTGCTAGAACCATCTGTGTCTGATCATTCTCCACTTAAACTAATGGTCACACAGATACAGAGGAAGAAGAATAGGCCATTTAGATTCTTTAATTGTATAGTAGATCATCCTCAATTTATACAACATGTTGAGCAAGTATGGAGTGTAGATGGAACAAAGGGAATGATGCAGGAAGTATGCGATAAGCTCAAAAGGGTTAAGGAGGTTATAAAAGGGATAAACATACAACATTATCAAGGGGTGGAAGATAGAATTAAAGAAGCTAGGAAAGAGTTGCAAATTGTTCAAGAGAAGATGAGTGATAGAATGCAACAGCCAGAATTAATTGAGAAGGAGAAAACTTTAAGATGTGAATTAGAAAAATGGACACCGATTGAAGAAAATATCTACAACCAAAGATCCAGAGTCCAATGGCTGAAACTGGAAGATCCAAACTCTGCTTATTTCTTTGCACAAATGAAGAACATGAATAACTTGAATGGTATTCAGGCTCTAACAAATGACTTGGGGATTCAACTAATGCTGGAAGAAGACATAGAGGCAGAAATATCGGGATATTATAAGGAATTGTTGGGTTCAAGAGCAGCAAGTATCCCTGCTATAAATCCAAATGTCATGAAGATGGGAGCAGTATTAAGTAGGGAGCAGCAGTTGAAACTTATCCAACCAGTGACTAAGGAGGAAGTTTGGTTAGCATTGAAGGATATTAGTGACCTAAAAGCACCTGGCTATGATGGACTTAATGCAGTACTTTTCAAAAAAGCATGGAAAGTGTTGATACCCAATTTTTCCCTAAATATTTTTAATATGCAAAATACTTTCAAAATAGCATATGTATGCATATATAGGTATTTCCAAATGTTTTATTATTTTTTCTTAATTTTTAAAATTAATTTATTGCCCTATCTTATCCAGAAAAATCCAATAATTATTCCTAAAACTACCATTTTGGTGATTCATTTATTGGACTCTCATATTATGCTAAAATATAGCTAATGTAATTTTTTCATATTTTTATAAATTTATTTAGTATTTTTAAAACTAAATTGCATACAATTGCAATATTAGCCTCTTTTAGATTTAATTACGTTTATGTCTATAAAAATTAGGTCCAATATTTTTAATTTGATAACTATGTATTATTAATCACCTTAGTACCCTTAATTTATTTTCGGAAATTATTCTACTATTTTTTATAAAATAAATAATGGAAAAGTGGCTATTTAAAATCTGGCCCAATTTTGTTTCAATTGTAGCCTGAATTGAATCCCCAATTTTAAACCCAATTACCTAGCCCAAATCCCAGTCATACCCGACCCACGACCCAATTAAAATAACCCGCCCGGATCCCCTACCTACCCATTCAATCCAGGCCGTTGATCAAAATGATCAACGGCCACCAAATCCCCTTTCCATAATTAATCCCAAACGACCCCTAAACCCTATCATTTCTCACCCCAGCCGCCTCTGAATCCCTTTCTCTCTCAATTCTCTCTCAACTCTCTCTCAAACCCTAGCCGCCGCCCTCAACTACCACCCTAAAACCGCCCAAAACAATGGCTTCCCAAGCCATTGGAAGCCTGTATCTATCTCCTATGGCTTCTACATGACCGATTATCATGGTTTCAAGGCTAGATCCTGGAAAAGTCTGGTCCAGACCTTGGTTGATTTTAGTTCTATGGCTGTCTCCGGTCATCTTTGACCTTGCTCCGGCCAGCCATGGCTATTCAACCCTGACTCTTGACTTCTACTGCTTAGATCGATGATTTGCCAAGCCTTTCTCACCATCTGGGGTTCTTCTGAAACCCTAACCTTTAAGGTTCTTCCAATTTCTTTTAGGTCTGTTTTAGATCCGTGTTTGCTCTAAACTTCTAAACATTTTTCTCTAGGTTTCTTTCAAACTCTACCTTCTAAACCCCTTTACCTTTTCCGATTTTGGTTTTTGTTAAGTTATTTCGAAGCCTTCTTTGATTTTCAACATGTTCTGCTGTGTTTCCTTATGTCGTTCTTAACTTGAGTTTGCATGTTAAGGGCCTTAGCCTTTTTGAGATTTCTGAATCTATTTTTGTTAGTATTGTCTGATTTACTTGTTTTTCATCTCTACACTCGTTTGATGGTGAAAACCCTAAAATTTTGGGTTCATTCGAGTTCTGAGACTATTTGCTGTGTGATTTACTTGTCCATCATCTCTGAATTTGATTGGTTTCAAAACCCTAATTTCTTTGGACCTATTCGAGCTTCTGAAAACTGCTTCATCTATTCGAAGTTGCTCGACTGGATTCAAAATCCTTTTGTTTCAACTTCTGCTTCTCTATGTGATTTGTTTTTTTGCAATCATTGAAACTCGACTATATTTTTCAGAAAGGTCTTTTTACTTGACCTTTTGCATGCTTCTGATACTCTCTCTTTTCTCTATTACTAAGTTGGTGAAATTGACCTATGTGACTACCATGTTTCGATAGTTCAATATCTACTGACTTTGTGATTGTTATTGCATGATGCTTCTCTTTGTCATAAGTTCAACCTCGCATGCCTAATGTTTACGCACTCTTTTATATGCTAAATTTCCCTCTAAAATGACCTTCAATTGTGTACTGATTTCAAACCACTCCTTGTGTTGTTTCTTGGATTGATTTGAAAACTTCCCTTTAGACTTTCGATTCTCCTGTTCTTAGCTTGGTTTATTTGTCTAGTCATGGGAACCCATGTTATTCTCTCCAAATCAGTAATTTTGAATCCCTGACTCCTTGATTTACTATGTGTTGATTGTCTCCATATTCTGCAGATTTATTGTGTTTCTTACCTTATTTGGTTAACCGAGTATTTCAAAGATTCTTCATTTGTTATTCCCTTAATTAAACCTCTATGTACTTACCCCTAATTGTCTAAACTGCACATGATGCTCTACTTGATTTCTTTCCTTAAATGTTTTCTGCCCATTACCGTTTAATTTTAACTCCTTAATTAAAGGAAGTCTTTGATACTGATTTGATTTTTAATTAGTACATAGTTCCATAATTATTGCTAAACTATGATTCTTGCCTTATTTTCTACCTGTTTTCAAACTATAAATACCTTGCTCTTTCATTAGCACACACACGAACACTCTTAGTTCTAAAATCACTTACACTCAAAACATTCTCTCCTGCTTTACTACTTCTACTGTGACCTATTTAGCTGTCTGAAAGCCAGAGTTATATTTCAAAATCCTGCTACCTTGCCTTTACTGTATTTTTCTTCTTTGAACTGGTATGTCCTGATTAAAATTTCAGCTTCACAACAATATGTTTACTTAATACTTTTGCCTCCTTGTCTGCCTACTGCTTGTGTTTAATTCAGTACTTTATTCTAGCATGTTGTAACTTCTTTTTTCCTATTCTAAATCTATGTATTAAGTATCCTAAACCCCTACCCGAATGTGTTTGATATTGATGGTTCATTTGAGGCATGACAATATTGAGCATTGCTGTCCATGACTCAAACTTGATCCCTGGGATCATAACCTCTATGTTTCTCTAGTATTGTGTGTTCTGGTGGGCTTAGAGGCGTGCCATCATCTTCTATTGTTGTGCATGCCCAAAGCTGACCCTTGCCTAAGTACATAGGCTCTTTGCAATTTCCCAACCACTGAACTCCTTTTGTATGAAATTATCAACTTGTTTATGGCTATTTCCCAGCACCTGTTTCCCTCTCCTTTATTCCCTCAGAACTCTGTTTCTTCACTTGCACTCTCTCTTAGACTTAAGTTCTGCCCCCCTCTTATGAGCCTTGCCTTGGGACCCATGAGCTCCCTCTGAACTTGGACACTTGAGGGCTGGCACTTTCACACTGCACTTGTCCCTATTCTGGTGATACAATTTGGGTGTGAGCACTGCCCAGAGTCCCGTTGAGGCTCTTAGGGAACTCTGACACACTCAAATCGGAGAAAGGCTTTGGATCAATGGTCTTTGAGTTGGTCTATCTCATAACTCAGAGAGGAAGTCAAGAATCAGGCTTTCCCTGGTTGTACTTTACTTTGTACTTTTCTGATGTAATTTATTATTCTGGTTTGTAATAAGTTGTAATAAATATTTGGGGCTGGCTAGTGAAAAAAGGGTGGGAAACTATGCATGCAAGGGTAGATATCATGCCTATAGGGTGTTTTAACTTCTGCATATTCAAACTTCACCTAGAAACCATGCCTATAGGGTGTTTTAACTTCTGCATATTCAAACTTCACCTAGAAACCATGCCTATAGGAATATTTTAATTCTGCATGATTCAAACTGTATTTAGATACCATGTCTATAAGGTTTAAAATAAGTTTCTGCATTTAGATACCATGTCTATAAGGTTTAAAACAAGTTTCTGCATTTAGACACCATGTCTATAAGGTTCAAAACAAGTTTCTGCACTTAGACACCATGTCTATAAGGTTTCTGCAATTAGATACCACGTCTAAAAGCAGTAATGCATAGAAATCATGCCTATAGGGATCCTCGAGCAATTCTGATTCGTTTTCATTCACAGTCAATAAAAGTAGATGCTATCACCTGCAGAACCTGTAACTAATTTATTTAATTTGTGTACGTTCTGTATCCCTTTAATAATCTAAGTCCCTCAGTTTAACAAGTATGCATATAGGACTTCAAACAATTCACTTCGAGCCTTACTATCTCATCACCTTCTAATTCAGTAGATATCATGCCTATAGGACCCCGTCTAAACACTTAGGCAAGCCTTAGAGTAATAACTATAAACTGGATCTGTTTCTATTAATCATTACAACCAGCGGGCAAGCCTGATTCGGACTTCTTATTTGAGTTATGTAATAAACCAATCTGCCTCAATTTTTAAACTCCCTCGTCTTTGGTATTTTTAATCAGACCTAAAAAAGTATGTGCAAGTCATGCTAATTATATGCTTTCTTTGTTTAAGGAGGTATATATGAGCCTTTGTTTGTTTATATGCTTTCCCCAAAAATATGCAATATGTGTTTTGTATGTCGCCTCAGAGTTTTTACCTTTGAAACTTCAAATAAGCCTAATATCCCTCCTTTTTTAGGATTAGTAGTCCTAAGTGCCTCCGGGACTGATAGGAGTGGGACGGGTAATAGCATGCAATAAGTAATCGAGACCAACCCGTACATTAAATACCTTAACGGGGTGGGAAGGGTAGATATGGATATGATGACCACGCGATAATGTCACGTGTAGCCCCTCATTGAGGAGCTGAGGAGTGATTACCGGACATTGTGTGGGGTGATCCATATTTTTAATAACCTAGGACCCCCTTCCTTTATTCTTCATTTCTTTTCTTTTAGCATTGTATTTCCTTATTCAAAATCAGCTCTTTTAATTATTCTGCTAAGCTTTGTCTACTTTCAAATCATTATGTGTTGAAATCCCCTCTTATTTGAGTCTTATCTGCCTATATGTTAATTGTACCCAAATTCACAATAATTGTCTGGCCGGGAACCACACTAGTAGATTCTGAGGGGTGCCTAACACCTTCCCCTTAGAATAATTTCAAGCCCTTACCCTATCTCTGGTTATTCAAATCAAACTCTTTTGGTGTCCTAATGCACCCTAATCATTAGGTGGCGACTCTTCAAATGTAAACCCAGTTCCCAAAAGGAATGAGTTGTCCCTTCAAATGTCATAAACCCAATTTTGCGAGAAAAAGGGGGCGCGACAGCATGGCGACTCTGCTGGGGATAATTAGGCTTTTACCATTTCAGACTATTATTGTGAATCTATGCTCCTTTA